GGTGATCCTGGTACAAACTGACGAAGCGCCATTTGTTTCACAGTATCGGCATAGAACTGTGGTGAACCAATATTCATATATAATTTAGATTCAAGGAATGCAATAATTAAATAGTTTCTAAATTCAAACTGCATAATAAATTCCCATCTTATCATCCCTAAATAGTAACTACAAAGTAATTTACAATCAGAGACTCATATAGAAGAAAATCAATGGACTGAAAGTAAAACATGTACAGACCTCTTCACCAAGCTGTTGAGCAAGAACAAGAGCAGGGCCCCATAACTGACCTTCTTGTCCACATTGAAGAGCTTCCTTTTTTCTACCAGCAATGAGAAGATTTTGCATCTCAATAGCAGTGGCCTAACCCAAATGGAAAAAAATCATTAGATTCAAGACTCTTGAACCGAGAGTATCATGTGTAGAGATCACAGGAAATGAAATTTGCAGAGAGAACGGGTCTACCCGACTTTGTGCCTCTGAAGGCAAGCTTTGCAAACACTGTGTGCAGGCACCATACTCACTCATATGGAGGCCAGTGTTTCTAGTAGAGGCAAAAAGTTTTGTCACAGCTGACTCAGGTCCATCAACTTCCTATAAACAAGTGAAGATGCCCTCACAGTGAATTCAAAATTCAAATGATAAAGAAACAAAAATAGGACAATGTACGCTCGTATTTTTTTTTGTTTTGGAAGAATAATGGACACTAGTAGATTATTGGCAACAACTTAAGCATAAAATTTTGGAACAGAAAAAGATACAGAATTGGGGCTCATTGCCCACAAACCACAGAACAGATACGCAACAAAAATCCAGTTGACAAATGCAAGTTACATCACAAGCGATGGCCATCCTAAGGAATCTAAGATAGCATCCGATAAAAATCAAGAAAACAATTAGAAATCAATGAACATGCAACTCCTCAAAATTAAAAATCCAATCTAAACTGTATATCCTTCAAAATATAAGAAAATGAATAAGTAATCTAGTACCAACATATATCTCTGTTTTATACACATCGTGAAATAGACATTGAAGTTTTTCATGAATCTACAAGTCATCAGTTCAGGTATCATAAATAGAGTAGTGTCCCTAGCAAATGCTTGCTGACCCTAAATTGATTAATATTACATCTACAGCAAATTAAAAAAAATTGCATTATATATTAATTAACAAATTAAATTTACATTACACCCCATCTTTTAAAAGAAAAAAGAAAAAAAAGGGAAAAATTACATTTCACCTCTATATTACAGGATGAAGTTGGATAGCATCTAAGTATTTCAAGCTATGAACCCTATAATGCAACCTTGAAATAAATATGTGCAGAAAATTTGTGTGGTCAATGAGCCCACCAGGTCCCCCTAATATGCAGAATTCTAGACTTCAGCCAACCTAGCAGGCAAGACGCGACATAAGACAAAGTACTTCAACAGCATTATACTAGATCCAATGTTGAGTAAGGCCGCCCCACCTAGGCCTCAGCAGGCCTCCCTGGGAGGGTGCTAGGCGCACACCTCACATTGCCTTCCCTTACAGGAAAGGGGCATTTATGTCTTTTTCCCCCCCTTGTGTGTCTGTGGGGAGGGGGGGGGCGGGGTTAAAGGGTTTTTTTGGCGGGAGTCTTCTAACCCCCACTACACCCCAACCTACACCTAGCAAAATAAATAAATTGTTTTTAGGGTTTTGAAAGCCAAAAAGACCGTATCTTTTTTAACAACAATTTGCGGAGGGGCCCACATGGACAGCCAGGACCCGCCGACTAGATGCTGCCCAGCATTCATTTGAACCTTGCTAGCATCAACGAAATCTCTATCAATGAGCTTCGAAAAGATTCCACAATGTGTTTGAAAATGTAGGTTGCCCCCAGTTAAATGCAGGCCAGTCATGGCTAGCAAAGACGAACCTAGCACACAATGCGTCATGCAGGAGCAAGAACATTTCCACACATCTACCTATTCTATGACAAGCATAACTATAAGTTGCAGAGCCAAGAATGTCCAGTAGTCTTAATTTGATTAACGAAGGCACCCAGTTCCAGATTGTTGCAATACAGTAAAATTAGGAACAAAATGACCATGTCAATTTACTCATTTTTCCTCCTACCAGCTAGCCACCAAAAAATGACCATCAGCAATAACGGAGGTATTCCTCAAACTCTCCAGAAGACGCCATTGAACCATCTTATAAGCTATGTATCAGAAAAAACAAAATCTCCTCTAAGCTGACCAATGTCATTTGCCGCAATAACACACCCATTTCTTGCCCATTAGTCCCCTTTCTTTATCCATTGTTCGGTTGCAATTGAAAATGAGTCTGCATTTTCTTTTTAAAAGGAAGATAGCCACCACTGGATTTTCACATCATGCATTTAGATCATTTTTGTGGTTGGAGCTAGTTTGGCTGCCTTTTTAACAGTTCATGACATTAACCATCTCAACTTTCAAGCACCACCACCATCCCCATAGCACTACCATGGTAGCACTACCCTTAACCACCGCCAATATCATTCTAAAACCATCACTAACGTTAACCCCGTTGCCAAAGAAAAACCACCACCACCCTAAAATAAAAAAAATCAAAAAACATTACAAAAAAAAAAGGGGGCTGCAAAACCAAAACCAAAACCAACACCAATTTGAAACAAGATTTACGTACCCAAGGGATGAATGCAGAAGCCCAGGAGCAGAACAATATAGCCATAGTCAAGAGAACCAGCAACGTGCAACTCCTTACAAAAAACCGTTCCTGACTCTTTATCCTCACTATAAAAACAATTAATTGCAACAAAATGCCCAAATCCCAAAGTCCTTCAACAAGGCTATGAACTCCTCTACCCAATATCTCTTTGCAAAAAACAACATAAACCACCCTATAAAACCACCAACAAAACAATAAGGTTTGCAAAAGAGCGGTGAGGCTTGAGATCAGGTCAATTATGAAGGTTTCTTAAGATCCTCTTCTGATTTAGGGTTTCTATTCAAAGTTGAAGCGTCCCAATCTCGAGCTTTAGGGCTTGGAACTCATTCCCATTGGGCATCTTCTGAAAGCTCTTTTTTTTTTTTAAGTTGCCTCTTCTCAGAGACATTGGCCGTCTTCTCTGAACCATCCTGCTGTCCTCTATCTAGAAAAGCATTGGTTCGACTGGCAAGGAGAGGACTGGTAATGAGAGAAAACTTGTTTTTGATCATCTGGTGGAGAGAGAGAGAGAGAGAGAGCAGGGGTTGAGCTTGGGGAAGAAAGCGGGGTTGGGGAAGGCGAAACACACACACACACACACACACATAGAGAGAGAGAGAGAGAGAGAGAGAGAGAGAGAGAGTAGTTACTAGTTAGGTTGCTAGTTCGTCGTTCCTTGTAGTTACGAGACGGATAGTGAGCGTAGGTTCGACGAAGTAAAGAAAAAACGGAAAAAAAAAAAAGGAAAAAA